GTGTGTGTGTATGCAAAACTGGAGAGGGGGCCATTGAGCTGGTTTTTCAAAAGAAACTATCACAAAACACTCCGTTAGACCCCTGAATCACCCTGTGACTGCTTCTTTCTGCAGCCTGCACTGCACTGTACTGTACTTAGCTACGGCATTCATTAAAAAGTAAAAAGACATGACAGCTTTCATGCAGCGGGATGACAGTTCCCCCTCTGTTTATTCATGTACAGTGAAGATTTATAATAAATATCAAAGTCCTGATCCATGTGCAAAGTTACTGGGGGTCTTACATGGGTTGAGAGGTTCTCAGTTGGCAGTGGACTTGATCCGTCTGCACACTGAAGACTTTGGGAATGCTTTTTCCTTTGCCCGTTTCTTTTTTTCTGCTTAAAGGATAAGGCAGATCATGTTCTATATTAACATTATTTTCAACATTTCCCATACAGAGACTGAAAACAAACAGTGATTTGCCTCTGCTCACAATTAATGTCATTCAGTCCTGGTTCACCATAGACCGCCGTTGTTCAAAAATGATTAAAAACACATCAGGGAAACACACCACTGCACTGGGTGACATGTTTCCTCATTACAAAACACCAGACCTTGGTATTTGTTAAAAATGTTGCCCCAGAGGTTCAGAACAGCCATGACCTAAGTAAGCAAAGAGTCAGGGGCCCAAGTACAAAATGTCTGGACAGTCTTAAAAAAAATATTCGGGTCTTGTGTTTTATATTGACGAAACATGTCACCCAGTGCAGCACTGTGCTTCCTTGCTTGATGTGTTATTAATCATTTTTGAACAACGGAGATCAATCCCACAGATGATAAACTAATCCAGGCCTGACAGACATCAACAGTGAACAGAGAATTCATAGCTGGTTTTAGTCTCATTGTTAGGTTTTAGTGTTGAAAATACTGTTAATATTAGAAAATGACCAGCCTTATCCTTTACACGTTACATTTTAATACTGCCTGCCTTTGATTCAGGTTTCGAATTAAACTCTCTGGTAAAACGGGGGTAACTACTGCTGCTGATGCCAACTACATGTTTAAATAATGTTTACTTTCAATTCAGTGAAAACACATCCTCACTAATAATTCAGGGAGGCGTGATAAGGTTAGTTTGTTTTAATATCGAATTACAGTTGTAATGTCCTGATGTCTTTACATTTCTACTTATTTTCCTTACATTTATTTTGGCAATTGGTGACATGACGGGAACATCTGATAGTTTGTAGATGTTTGGAAAGGAAAGTTTAAGCAGACTGATTAAAAGTCACATCCCCCACATTGTAAATCAAAGGTGGACATATATTAACATATTTATCAACTTAATTCAATTCAGGAACACCTCTTACTCCTTGCTTGACACCACCCAGGAGTATCATTATAATAAAGCATAGGTGTAGCAGATTTGAATGTAAATTAAGTTTTTGTCTTAAACTTGGTACAAAGTCTATACATGGCAGTGTTTAACTATATTGTACTGTCCTGACATTTCCCAAAGATTTGGTACTTACTTTACAAGTAGAAGAAAAAGGAAAAGTGCCATTTATATTTAGAATGATCAAGCAAGGAACTAGTATGTTGACTGCAACAGTTTGGCTTCTCACCTTTCACACAGTAGGGCTCGCCCTCCTCCATGTAAAAGGCTTGGTTCCTGATGGGAGTCTTGCAGGCTGCACACTGGAAACACTCAATATGGTAGGTCATCTTCAGGGCATGCATGATTTCCTAATAAGGAAAGACATGTTGTTTTTTTTTTCCTTCAGCTTAGCTAGTGTGGTACAGTCACAACTACATCCATTTGTTATCACAGAGAAATCACAAAATACCAGCTTTGAAACAGCAGCCACATTCAAGTGTAAAATGTTTTCCCATATTTCTTAATTTAGGTCTTGATTTTGCCAACCTGATAAAGCAGGTCTTACCCCTGTGATCTTCTTTTTGCATTTGGCACAGTTAGGAGCGTATCGGTTATCGTAGCACTTGGTACAGTAGACAGACCCTCTCTCTTCAAAGAAGCCCCCTTCTTCTAGGACTGCCTTACATTGTGAACATGTGAACTCCTCCGGGTGCCAAGAACGCCCCAGCGCCACCAGGTACCGACCCCTGGAAAACATACACAGAAAACCACATTAAAATACATGAGAGGCAGCACTGAAATCTGCTGCATAACTTTTCAACTTTAACAGGGAAACCACAGACCTGCACAATTATTACCGTCACATTCATGGTTTAGGCACAGATTTGTGTGTACGCACCGTTTGTGAATCAGGCCCATTGAGAGCATTTGTCTGGCAAAATGAATCAAACTGTCAGTGTCAATGGGACACTGTGGTCTCACCTGATGATTTTGTTGCAGGCGCCACACACCGGGGTCCTCCCACTCACTTCAGGTGGCTGCTGTGCTGCCTGCAGGATGGAGCTACGGCTTTGCATGGGCGTCGGCTGGGCCAGCTGCTGGTGCAGGGTCACCACAGTGCTGCTCTTGTCTGGGCGAAAGCGGTTGGCGAAATTAGGGTCAGTGACCCACGGTGGTCGAGAGGAAGGACCTGAACTTCCTCTGGATCCAGCTGCGGTCTTACAGCCTGGCAAAAGAAACCAATGAGATTTGTTTTATAATCACAGCGCGTGGAAAGTCTTGGTTGTAACTTTGAATAATTTCACAAAAGGAGGTGCACTTTCATGTAATTTACATGCTGTTCCAGATGTCTTTTTTGACAGCTTCGAATGTCCTGTTGTTGCTACTGATGCTCATGTATTGATGTTTAATAAGAATCTATTAGCACAAACTCTACCGAATGCTGCTGGGGTCCTTTTACGCAACAGCAGGAGCAGAAACTCACCATCTGGTTTATCTGCTGCCTTGGCAGTCAAGGGAGTTGGCTGAAGGCTGTGGGGAGAAAATGACTAATTAGAAAAGGTACACACAGAGACGCCTCTCAGTAACCATGGTTACTCAACGAACATCATCTTTGGATATCAGTAGCCATGGGTCGTCTGCATTCCTGAACAGTATGTTCTGCCACAGATTACCATGTGTGTGAATGATCAAAAGCATAATTATACATCAGCGGGATAGCATGGTGTCCTCTCTGTTGTGGTAAGACAAGCTAGTTTGGTAATAATAAAATAAAATAAAAAACTTTAGTTACAGTGCTTTACAATAAAACCAATAGTAAACACAGTAAAAGCCCAATTAAAATAGAAACACTAATAACACTTAAGAAAAAGCCATGTGATAAAAGTGAGTTTAAAAAAGAGATTTAAAAGTCACAGAGTTTGCCTGCCTGAGATCCCCAGGCAGGGGGTTCCACATCCACATCGCATGAGAAGAAAAGCCTGGTCACAAGTCACGCTTTTGGAACCTTACGGCACTGCTGGAGGATCTCTGGCAACGATCAGGCCCAAATATCTGCTTATATTTGTGATTTGTTAATTCCTTTTGCGCCTGACCATTCAAGGCTTTAAAAACAAACAGTAAAACCTTAAAATCAATTCAAAACTTCAGATAGATGGTGAAGGGCAGCAAGGATCGGTGAAATGTGGTCACATTCCTCACATGTTAAAGTCTGACAGCAGCATTCTGTATCAACCGAAGTCTAAGAATGCTGCACCTGCTAATTCCAGAATAAAATGAATTGCAGTAATTGAGTCTGGAAGAAACAAAAGCATGCATGACCTTTTCTAAGTCTACAAGGGAAAAGAATGACCCGGTCTTAGCTGTTTAAATTCCACAAAACAGGGCTGGACCACTTCAGTCACCTGAGTATCGAAGGACAAATCTGAATAAAAGATAACACCGAGGTTGTGGGCCTCTTTCTGAACATTATCAGACAGGAGACCCAGACCAGAGGAGAGAGATTATTAATACTGTCAATTCAATAATGGGGTACTGGGGCCACAGTGTGGTAAATCCACCTCAATATATACAGTGGTGTGAAAAAGTATTTGCCCCCTTACTGATTTCTTATCTTTTTGCATGTTTGTCACACTGTAATGTTTCAGATCATCAAACAAATTTAAATATTAGTCAAAGATAACACAAGTAAACACATCATGCAGTTTTTAAATGAAGGTTTTTATTATTAAGGGAAAACAAAATCCAAAACTACAAAACCCTGTGTGAATAAGTGTTTGCCCCCTAAACCTAATAACTGGTTGGGCCACCCTTAGCAGCAACAACTGCAATCAAGCGTTTTCGATAACTTGCCATGAGTCTGCCACAGCGCTGTGGAGGAATTTTGGCCCACTCATCTTGGCAGAATTGTTGTAAGTCAGCCACATTGGAAGGTTTTCGGGCATGAACTGCCTTTTTAAGGTCATGCCACAGCATCTCAATTGGATTCAGGTCAGGACTTTGACTAGGCCACTCCAAAGTCTTCATGTTGTTTTTCTTCAGCCATTCAGAAGTGGACTTGCTGGTGTGCTTTGGATCATTGTCCTGCTGCAGAACCCAAGTTCGCTTCAGCTTGAGGTCACAAACGGATGGCCGGACATTCTCCTTCAGGATATTTTGGTACACAGCAGAATTCATGGTTACAATACAGTGAACTGTTTCCATCTGCAGGCCATTGTACATGATTGTACAAGTATTTGTGAGACAAATCAATTGTGTAATTGAAACAATCAGTTCAAGAGCTACTACCGTACCCTAATGAGAGCAATAAGAAACCGGAACAACTTCTTGGACTGATTAACGTCACTCACAGGGAAACAAGAACTGGGAAACAAGAAACTCAGACCAGTTGATGCTGTCAGATCTGGATGCAGGAGAGTTTTGTCTAAAGCCTGCATGTGTAGAAGTGTGAATAAAGAATAGGGTGGAATAAAGAGTTGTTTCTACATTTCAATGTTCTGTTACCTGCAGCAAACATCAGTATATTCAGAAAATCTTCAAACCATGACTGAAATGGAAAAACAACGTCTGAGCCAAAACAGTGAGCTCTGGAGACGTCTTATCTTGGGAAAAAAATATAACATTGCCTCAGGCATTTATCATTTTTACATCAGCAATTGTGCCATATACAAGACCGTAAAGAAATATGATGAAATCCTAACTCATTTGCAAAGAAAGAGGAAAACGTTAAACAAACGACCCTGCAACAGCCTTGTTCTGTAGCATTGCCTGCATCAGATTAAGCCTGGCTATCAACTATACTTCTAACATTTCCAAATTAAACACCAAGTTATGGAAAAAAAGGCAGGAGAAGTTACAGAAATACAACAGAGCTATCTAGCCAGATGAATGATGAAAACTATCTGCTATTTTCCAAACCACATACTCTGAAAAATAAAGGGCATTCAGTCCCTTTGCTGTAGCAAGAAGACAACTCGCAGGGCTGGTGACACAGAGAGGAAGTGAAATCTTTCTAAATTAAGAAAGGTAAGACCCCAACTACCAAGAGACTTTTGGAAAGAGACCACGGCAAAACAGAGTGAAAGGAGGAGAGGAGTCTGGCTGGAAGGATCCCTGGCAGCCGGGTCGAACAGAGGACAGAATAAACCAGTTTCAGCCTGTGACAAACACAGACCCTGGGTCAGCTGCCCTCCGCTCCACACACTGGCATGCTTGCCTTTGGGGACCAAACCTAACAACACGGCGGCCCCAGCTACACTCCCATGCTGTGCTGCCCTACATGACAACAGGCCAGCAGCACTGACTTCTCACACAAACACCTCTGAGAGGTTTGTTTGGCTGCACCTCACTCCGGTGAAGGTTGCAGGTGCAAATTGGAGCACATCCTCTACAGCAGCTTATTCCCACCTGGAGCGACCTGAATCATATTTTTTTTTTTTGACATTTTCACAGCTTTCAGTGCTTGGTGAGAGGCTCTGTGCGACACAGGTGCACAATTCCTGCATCACAGCCTTCGCAAACAGGTTTTTTTTTCCCCCACCTTCTGTGTGGAGTTGTGGACACACCGCAGAGCAGCACCCCACAGAATGTTTCCTTGACATTTCCTGTTCACTCTTTACGCCTCAGATTTCAGATTTACCTCAATTTTTCTTCCCCTCCTGTGGGATGCATCGATCTGAGCAACAAGGAAAGCAGGGGACTTTGTTGACAGCTCAACATCCAGCTGAGAAAGGAGCAGGTTTTGATTTCAGATGGAGCAGGAATCCACTGATATGCGTCACCTTCCACAGTGAGGAGGAAAATGTGATGCAGCTCGGTAAGAACCCGAATGTGACAAGTGACAAAATGCTGAACAATGGTGGTGCACGTCGGAGACAGCAGAGAGGCTGCTTGGGTTTAAATGCAGGCAACAAGCTCCTTCTGACAGTCACTGTTGCTGTTTTTATAATATTATTTACAAGGAAATGGCAATTTTGCAAATAATATGCAGAGGCTGCAGTTGTTTTCCAGTGGTAAAATGATTATAACTCAACATGCTGCATACAAATGTTTTCTTATTAACAACTGCATTCTTTGTTTACCTCTATCTTATTACTGTCACTGCTGAAATGTGGCCAGATGGTTTGATGGTTGACCCTTCTGACTTTTTAAATAGCACTTTAAGTACGTACATTATGAACTGTTTTGCAGATTTTGGATACGTCGACAGCTGCAGACCAAAACTAGTTTTGCCTTCAGTTACTTGTTTAATGGTATATTTCATAAATGGTAAAAGCAGAGGTGGAAAGTAACTAAGTACATTTACTCAAGTACTGTACTTAAGTACAACTGAGGTTTCATTTTCTGCTACTTCATTTTTGACTTCATTACATTTCAGAGAGAAATACTGTACTTTGGACTCACTACATTTATTTGATAACTTTAGATATTAGATACTTTTCTGAATGAGATTAATACAACTTTATTGAGCCTTGGTGTATAATTCATAAGCTACCCAGAAGTATGTAAAGTACTTAGTTGTAGTTAACATTAGCTCCAACAGCAAAATCCAATCCAATAATATGATATGTAAACTGTGCTATTGTCCATGAGGAGTACTTTTATTTTTGGTACTTTAAGTATATTTACATTTGAATACAGGACTTTTACTTGTAACAGTATTTTTATGCTGAGGCGTTGCTACCTTTAATTAAGTAAACAATCGGAGTACTTCTTCCACCATTGGGTAGTACTAGCAACTCTCGGTTGCCAATTCTTAATCTTACCATACATTTTGTCATCAGTTTTCTATATGTGGAAAGAAACAACACTTTTCTCTGTTTAATTTAGCAATAACTATTGTTGGTTTCTTGCTGTTACCTAATGCATTATTTTCTCAAACTATGCAAGTTGGGGCATTTCTCATTCTCTACACATCTCAGATTTTTACTGTTGCTGTACAATCAATTAGGTAATATCATCTGCTACCAGCAACTGTGCCACATTTTTCTTTCTTGTATTTCGTCCACAGACAAGGTATTTGAAAAATTAACACGTGTTTTTCCTCTGAAATCTTTTTTTATTTTACTACTAAATCAGGCTAATATGTGGTGCCTATCTAAACGATGATGGTCTTGTGTCCAACTTGCACTTTTCTCTGAGAGTGCAGCGAGTACTCAGCTGAACACATGGTAGTGTTGGTCTTGTATTTGATTTAGATTTCAATATTCAAATACCTAAATATTTTTATTTCAAGCAAATGCAAGAGACTAAAGGCTGCATTTCCTCACGGTGCACTTCTGCACTTTATGAATATAAATTACTTCGTACGTGTGTGGCCATTTGTTGGTTTTATGTCTGACTACACAACAATTTTCTCTCCGAGGAAATAAAAACAAACCTCAAACCCTGATCCTTGCAAAGACACCCCATTAATCCAAGAATGCATAATGACTGCGGAAAGCCCCGGTACTACATAATCACTTTTGTTCAGTACACCAGGTAAATAAACAGTTGTGACTCAGCTGAAGAAAGAGATGAAATAAGAGAGTTAT